CCAGGTTGTTTTTGGCAGGTACGAACCAGGCTCGATCCTGCTTTTGGCTCTCACAAGCCCGAGAAGATCAGGCATCGTCGTGGGTGGCCATGAGCTATACGCTTCTGGATGAGCGCCTCGCCATGCCATCACAATCTCTTGTGGGAGGCAGTCCACTTCGGCACGCTCCCTCATCTGGGTGCCATTCCGCCGTTAAGGTCTCGAGCCACCGGCCGTCAGCCCGATCCAGCGACGTCTCCTGCCCAAGGCCATTTATTTTCTGTTAATATTCAAGGGACACGTGGCCTCATGCTCCATAGGGGATAAAGAGGATTAATTGACTATTAAAGCTACACATATCCTTCTCGGAACGGCACCTCCGATTAGCACGGTTGGCTGCGTACGGCGCAAAAGAAGTTCAACATACATACGTAAACACACACACACACATCTGCATAAACTGGCACGACTCTTATCTGGGATGTGCGTGCAGATACAGCAGGGGCCTGTGGCGTTCTGGGGCACCCAGTGAGAGCCCTTGGCTTGGCTTGCAGCCACCTCCACAATGAATGCGCCACACTTGCCGGGTACTGCAGAGACGAAACACGAGTTAAATATTGGTTTTTAAAAGTCTTCGAATTAAATCAGTGGGCGGAGGGTCCCCACTGATTTACTCCTGCATATGGTTAATATATACATAAAGGGAAAGACGCGCACACACACGCCGTGTCTCTCTCGCTCTCTCTTTTCCTCCCTCCTTCTCTAATGCGTTTCCGCCTTGTAGTGGTGATGTGAGAAATTCAGTAGAATACAGCACTGCAAGTAGGTTTCTGGCCTATCTGTGCCAACTCTCGAACATCAACCTTCGCTCAGCTGGAGGTCGCTCATTCTCCTCTGCTGCCTCCCCCCCCCCCCCACTCCGTGGTCTGAAGCTCCCTTCCTCCAGCCATCCGTGCTGTCGACTCCGCCACAGTTCAAGTGCAGGCTCAAGATCTTTCCTCTTCTCCCTCTGCGTTGCTGCAATTGTGGCATTGCACAACAGCTCGTTCATACTCTCACACACGTGGCACCACGGTGGCTTGGAGATGTTAGCTACCTCTTCTGGCATACAGGAGATCGTGGGTTCGAGCCCGACCCTGACGCCTGCTGCTGTATATTTTAAGTTTGCGGTGTCTCTCAATCTCCCCGTGGTCGCGTGGATTTTTCTCCGGGTACTCCGGTTTTGTTTCCTTCACATTTAGAAAGAGGCATTTAGAGTATTCGGATGCTATGAATGTCCATATAAGCCACTTCGTTGAGTTATCATTTCTGGCTAGGTCGCTTCTGAAAAAGAGCTATACAGCTGTGGGCATTACCTGTTTCAATAAAAAGAAATCAATAAAAAGTTAAATTCCAGCTACATTTCACTGGGTACAATGACTAATGAACAGGCGTATAGCGGTGGTGCAGTGGTTGATGCACCATGCTATGAACCTGGAAATATGAGCCGGAATTCCTGGTCACGGCTAACACCAGTGGTGAACGGTAATTGAAATGGTCCATTTTCATCCCCGCTAGCCTTCATCAATCTGCACCAATCAGCCAAGTAAAAAAAAAAACGCCCCGTGACCTGCACGGCTTGAGGAGGGTTCGTCCGAATATCATTATTGTACACGTATATCCCCTTTTGTCGATACACTGCTGGATGAGGGCCTCCCCACAAGCCCGTTGCAGGTCGTGGGGTTTATATCACCGTACTTCAACAAGCTGGTCGGTGGCGAGTTGATGAAGGTGGAGAGCATGGATGTGGCAATAACGCAAGTATAGATCATATTATAGATGGATTTGCTGCCCTTTCTTCTGCGGCCCCACCTTGCGTCGTTGTTATTACTTCGATTTTAACGTCAATAAATGCCACGGGAAGGACCGTTCAGTGTTTTCGCCCGGCGAAAAGTAGCAGGGCTCAGCAGCCCGTCCCCCTGTCGCCACCTCCAAATCGGCTCGCCCGCCCTCACCCTCAAGTCTCAGAACCGCGGAGGCAGCACTGAGCAAGCGACTTCCACAATGGGGCGATGCCACCACCACCACCACCCCAGCAGTACCGCCCACTCTGTATATGTGTTTGTTTATTTCTCAGAAACGGCACCATTATTTTAAACCACGACGGCAGCTACGCATCGCAAAGCATGTGGCCACGACGGCTAAAACGCTGTCAGTCTAAATGTTTATCGTCTTAGCAGGGGACGAACGTAAATAAGAGAGCGCTTAAAAAAACGCAGGGACACGCGCGACGCAGCGGCCGGCCGCCGGTACATTTGGGGACAGCCGCGATTTTCGCGTTCTCTCGAATCTCACGCGCGTCGGCCGGCAAACTGGCCCTGCGACCGCCGCAGCTGCAGCCGCCACGGCCACGCTCTCATCAGACACAAAGCGCTTGCCACGGTTGAACCACAACACCTCGCTGATCTCGTCAAGGGGCATAAACTATCATCACGTGAACTCCGATAATCCTCCTCGCAGCAGCGGATTTTGGCCGGATCGCGCGCTTTCGGATGTGCTTCTGCGGCCGTCTGGAATGCTCTTCCTTCCGATATTAGGAGGCAACTGGAGCTGTACGCTTTAAAATCTCTATTGAAAACGCATTTATTTTGAACTGCTTTTTGTGTGTTCGTTTGTTGTCCTTTCCCTGCACCTCCGATTAGCGCGGTTGGCTACATACCGGCCATGCAAAACCTGGGTTACAAGTGGCGCGCACGTAGCCACACAGTGCGCACACGAAGCAAGCGAGGGGTCTGACGTTCACCCCCCGTGGATGCGGAGGAGGGACGACGGAATGGCCCTCTGGGCATACGCGAGGGCCACGATGGCCTCGAGGCGAGGCCACACGTCTCGAGCAGGTGGCCATCAGAGAGCCAACATCAGCAAAGTTTAACTTCCACTCGGTGTGAGGGTGGCTCCTTCTCCTACGCTCTTCCCACCATGGCTGAGAGAGCTCCCTCCTCCTTTCCTCTGGCTGTCTACACGGACAAGGTTCTCCTTCTGTGTACGTCAGGGAATTAGTTGAGCTGTGCGCCGTGGAGGAGGAGGCTCGTTCAAGGACCCGACCGGACGGTTCGAGTTAGCCGCCCTCCAGCAACAGCGGAGGGCAGAGGAGCGACGTTCACAACAACGAACGGCGTGCCGGACAAATACAATGCATACTCTTTGGTTCTTTCGATAAAGTCGCGTAGGTAGAAAATTAAATTAAATAAATCACGACGTTTCGATCGCAACACAAGCGCTCGTCCTCAGACAGAAAAAAATATAATCCGGGTCAGCAGTTCTACTGCTGGATTATATTTTTTTCCGCCTGAGGACGACCGCTTGTGTTGCGATCGAAACGTCGTGATTCATTTTATTTTCTACCTACGTGATTTTACCGAAAGAACCAAAGAGTATGGATTCCTGCAGTCACGAAAGCTTCAAATCAAGATAAATACAATGCAGCAAAAGTTGACACAGTGGGGTGCACAGGTGGTGCATCTGCCAGTCATCCTAGTTGGGCAACCCAAATACATCGGTCTGTGACATGACCCACTGCCAGCAGCGAGCCTTCGACACTACACATGGCCATAAAGTGTACATATCATGGTACAAGCGCTGTAGTGACATCAACGCTGTCGTTGTGTGCACAAGTGTGTGTGTGTGAGTGTGTGGTGTGTGTGTGGTGTGTGTGGTGTGTGTGTGGTGTGTGTGTGGTGTGTGTGTGCGGTGTGTGTAGTGTGTGTGTGTTGTGTGTGTGGTGTGTGTGTGGTGTATGTGTGTGGTGTGTGTGGTGTGTGTAGTGTGTGTGTGTGGTGTGTGTGTGGTGTGTGTGTGTGGTGTGTGTGTGTGTGGTGTGTGTGTGGTGTGTGTATGGTGTGTGGTGTGTGGTGTGTGTGTGTGGTGTGTGTGTCTGTGTGTGTGTGGTGTGTGTGTCTGTGTGTGTGTGTGTGTGGTGTGTGGTGTATGTGTGTGGTGTGTGTGTGTGTGTGGTGTGTGGTGTGTGTGTGTGTGGTGTGTGGTGTGTGTGTGGTGTGTGGTGTGTGTGTGGTGTGTGTGTGTGTGTTGTGTGTGTGTCTGTGTGTGTGTGTGCAAGAGCGCATATCGACGTTCTTCACCTGGCTCCTGTGAGCGTGGTCCCAAATTACGGCGCAGCGAGGGCATAAATCTGGAAGCTGTGACCAGCGGCAGAACACGGAGCCATGAAGGATGCAATCGATGGTACCCCCACCCCCCCCCCCCCCGGACGTTTTGAAATAAAATAAAAAATTCCCCTCTTGAAACCGGTATTGAAGATGTTGGCTAAAACGGAATGGTACGGATGACGCGACCACAACTTACTCAGCGCGCAGCCATCTCTGCTCCTTGCCGTCAATTCTCACGCAGCCCCGCGCGTATAAAAACACAGGCGTTCTCAATGGCGTGCGAGCGTGAGTGAGCGTATTTGTGTGCGCGTGTGAGCGAGCGATGGCGCGTGGACGAGTATGAGATAACAGTGGCGAAAATTCAAAGCGGTCCTGGGCCTCCCCTAGGTCGACTCAGCCTCAAATGAGTACCTGGGACGGTGTGTGAACATCTCCACTGGGCGGCCGGGCGTGGTGCTGGCCACCCACTCCCTCGCGTGCCGTACCGACCTTCATTGATGATCGCTAACAGCACTTGCCCCAAGAGTCTGTAAAGGCTATACGGGGGATATTTTTCTTTGTGTGCACAGTCCTACAAAGATGCCACATTCTCTGTTCACCCGCTGCAGCAGAGCAGAGGTGCATGGAATTTCAGCAGGACCTACATCTCTGCATTGTTGAGATGTAGGTCCTGGCCAAGGTCTACGTTACCATTAATAGGCTAGAGCTCTGCTTTATGATTTGTGCTTTCAATTATCAATTACCTTGATGGTAGGCGGGCCCAGGTAAAGCTGCGTAGCCGGGAGTCAGGGCCAGTTTCTGTTCACCTGTGCGCAAGTAAGCGTCGCAAGATGGAGCGTGAACCTGCGTGCGTGTGCGTGCGCTGGGTCGACTCACGGCCTGCTCCTGGCAGATGTGCGTCAGCCTCTCCACCTCCTCTTCGGCCTGCTGCTTGACGCGCTCGCAGTGCTGCAGGATGAGCTCGTTCTCCTCCTTGATGGGCAGCACGTACGCTGCGCGGGGCGCACCACAGACACGCCCGGGTCGTTAGCGAGCGCGCAGACCGAGCGAGCGAACGAGCGAGCCGGAGCGCGCCCCCCGCCCCCTTCGATCGAGTCGTGAGGCTCGACCCCCGGGCGGTGCTCGGATTGGCGAGGGACCACCACGCACCACCGATCGTGGTGGGGCTGCCCGGGCTACGTTGTTGGCAGCAGAAGCAGCAGCCGAGGGCAGCGCGAAAAGAAATTCCACCGTGGTGCTGCTGGTGGTGGTGGGGCACAGTCCACAACCCACGACCCGGAATGGTCCTCCTCTAGCAGTGGATTGATACCTTAGGGCCGGACGAATTTTAAACCAATCACTGTCCACGGTGATTACATGAATCGCCGTGGACAGCGATTGAACTCAGGATGCTACGACAGTCGGGTGCGCCAACTGCTTCATCGCCACAACGACCCCCCCCCCCCCCCCCGTGCATCCGACATCAAGCGTTGTGGCAAATCCTGTGAGAGAGCACTCTGATGATCATGAAGGCACACAAGGGAGTGGTGGGGGGGGGGGGGCAGAATCACACTTGGCTTCCTTTGTCTCCCCAGTGCTGATCGTGATGCCACCATGCCTAGGGGAGGTGCAGGACCAGGTCTGATATCGCTCGCCACCGATTGTTCAATGCATTGGCCAGGAATGGAAGTCGAACCACTTTCTATCACCACCACATTCGCACGCAAAGACAAAGATCCCCCGTGTAGCATTAACAGATTGCTGGGGCAAGTGCTGTTAACGAAGCAAGCACCAATGAAGGCCGGTACGGCACACGAGGGGGTGGGTGGCCAGCACCACGCCCGGCCGCCTTTGTCTCCCCCATTGGCGATGTTTCCACACCGCAGGTACTCATTTGAGGCTGAGTCGACCTAGGGGAGGCCCAGGACCGGTTCAGATAATCGTCACTGGTGTTGGCCGTGAGCAGGAATGGAAATCGGGCCGTTGAGTTCATAGCGCAGCGCGTTAACCGCTACACTACCGCACACACACACGCCTGCGCGCGCACATACACGTGCGCACACACACACACGCGTGCACAAACACACACACGCGTGCACACACACACACACGCGTGCACAAACACACACACGCGTGCACACACACACACGTGCACACGCATGTGCGCGCACACGCGCACATGCGTGTGCGCGCACAGCCGGCAGTATCCACTCGGGGACAGACCTTTTTAAAACGCTTCTTAGACTGACGTGCAGCCTCATTTCCTTTGCAGCGGCATCCACTCTCCTTCAAATAATAATGCGTGCTGAATTATACAGCCTGGGTTTCCCTGAAGCAGGGGGTGGCGGGGGTGGTGGAAGGCGGTGCTCCCCCTCCCCCCCCCCCCCATTTCAGCAGCCGTGATGAGCTCCCCGGTGGCTTGCTCGCTGGGGTATTGGCTGGCAGTCACGTTTATATCTTGGCTTCTTGCAAACAGCCCGCGCACATTTGTTTGGCGTGGAATTCTGTCCGGGTTTTTTTTCTTCCCATAATAATAAAAAAAGCCTTTCGTTAAAACCAAGACAATGTATAAATGGGCTGCGTCTGTGTACATTGTTGATGTTGTTGTTAGCCTCGTACAGGTGCCGGTGGTGTCATTCACACTCATCTCCACCGACAAGAGCGAACGTGTTTGCTCGAAAAAGACGCGAGCGGTTGGAATTTTCGGGGGCGTAGAAAGCCGATTCGTTCCGTAACTCGACGGGCCACCGATGGGAGGAGGGTGGGGGGGAAGGGGGTGGGTAAAGAGGGGTGGGGGGGTGGGGGGGGACAGGCGCCAGGTGACAACTCAGGTGTCGAAATGGGAGCGCGCGGCGATGGTGATTAAAGTAACGCTGCCAATCAGACGACCTCACCCAAACACGCAGGCGCGAGATACTAATTAAGTAAGAGGACATCAATCAATCGACCGAAATTGCACGGGTGAAAGAAAAAAATAGTCGCTCATTAGCACCAGGCGAATGGAAATTCCGACGTAAATATTTAAAGTGGTAAGCCCGAAAGAAAAAAAAATCCGTTATGGGAATGACTTCCCACATGCGTGCGTGGAAAGAGAGAGAGAGAGGGTGCATGGCTGCTCTGGTCTGGGGGCATTGTTAGTGGAATATTGCTGCACGTGCCGTTTTTTTTTCCTTCCACCCTCATTGCCAATGCTGTAACTATTCAGACCTTCCTCCGCACTACGGCAGCAGTCGGAGCAAACAAAACCATCTCGCCCTGCAACTCCATGTGGGCTCCTAGCACGGTGGGTTGGTGCCACGTGGTATCGTGAGAGGTGGTGGCCACTTGGGGAGGCCCTCATCATGGCGGATGATGATGATGATGATACAACTTGATGGCCAAATGGCTATTGCAATTACCATGGTATTTATTTACAGGAGCCAAAAGTTTGTATTATCTCCCGTTATTCGACACGTGGCCATTCTCCAGGCACTCTGCTTTCCTAACCCAATGAGAATGTGTATTTGAATAGGAATTGGCCAACACACTATGCAGAGGCACTCCTGAAAATTGAGGGCTTCTCGGACGAAGAAAGAAATCGGTGTGACCGTTATGGGTGGAGGGGGTGCCCACACTGCACCCAACCATCCGAATTCGAGTCTCAGACACGGCTGACGTCTAGTGGCGAGCGATACCCGCAAAGTTCCGATTTCACCAACTCATGCTGACCGGCACTTTGGTCAAATAACGACCGCGACCGGCTCGGCGCCATTGGGTTTGTCCGTCAGCCGGTTTAACAAAGGCCTTGTACGTTTTCTGACAATGCAGTTGCCATTGTTGCCACTTCAATGCAAGGACACATGGGACAGACGCAAATGTGGCTTCAGTCACGCTGCACCTGACCCCGCTCTCAGCAGGCGACGGCTGCGTTTTTTGTATCGCCCATTCCTCCAGCGGCGCTGCGGACACGCGCACGCACACACACACACACGCACACACACACACGCACACACACGCACACACACACACGCACACACACGCACGCACACACACGCACACACGCACACACACGCACACACACACACGCACACGCACGCACACACACGCACACACGCACGCACACACACGCACACACACACACGCACACACACACACGCACACGCACGCACACACACACACGCACACACACACACGCACACGCACGCACACGCACGCACACACGCGCACACACACACACGCAACGATCGGCCGCTTCAGGTGCTCCCGCTGGAGCCATGACACGCACGACTTCATGCGCTGCCCCCAAAACGAGATGTCAGGTCACTGCTGCCCAGCCTCCCGTAGACGTGGCAGAGAGAGAGAGACCAGGGGCATCGATTGTGTCTGCCGCGTCTCCTCCCTCTTGCCGTTCCCTCCATGTTCCTCATCCCTGCACCCCCCCCCCCCACGTCTCCCCACCGCTCCGCGCCGACCTCTCGCCATCAATTCCTCCCCACACCCAAACCTCTCCTCTATCCTCTTCCCTCCCTCTTCTTTCCTCCCTCCTTTCTCTTCTCTCTCTCGTGGATCTCTCTGCTATAAAGAAGGGCCATCATTGCCCGAAATGCCACCTATTTGTTTCCATTTTTTGAGCGGCATCATATTGGACAGACGTGTTGAAGATCGCGGTAATTGTGCTGGCGCGTCACTGCTAATGCAGCAGTAGCAGCAGCATCGTCACAATTATATATATATATTTTTAAATTCTCCACAGACCGAAGTCGTCGTCGCCTTCGTCACCACCATCAGCCATGATCAATCCGCTGCTGGACGAAGGCCTCCCAATGCCGTCAACCACGCCGAGATTTGCCACGGGCTGACCTCGGCGCCTCTGGGATGGGCAGAAGACGCTCCAGCGCGTCACCTTCTGAGCCGCAGCTAAAGGTAAAGGCGCGGGTGCAACGCGAAGGCTTTGGCCACTCCGGGTGGAAAGGGGGCTCTGTGTGTGCGCGCGTGTGGTTGTGCCACTCGACCCTAATTCACACTGACACACATTACGCGGGCGACGTTGGGATCGCAACCAAAATAGCTTCTTGCCCAACGGTACCGGAACCAGCCACGGCGGCGTCTCCTGTCGGTAGTTTTAGCTTCAATCTTGATTTGAAGTTTTCGTGACTGCAGGAATCCATACTCTTTGGCTCTTTCGGTAAAGTCACGTAGTTAGTTTTAGCTTCGTTTCACTCCTCATCCTCGTCGTCCTCGTCGCTCGCCGACGGGGGGCGGGGGAGGGGTGAGGGGGGGGACAGAGGACGGGCAGTGCGGCTGCGGCAAAACGTCGCCGTGCGTCCACTCGGACGGCGCCGTATCCTCGGAGGCATCGGGAACGACCATCGCAACGACGATTGCGATTGGATTAAAGCGTTTTGTTTCAATGGGCATTAGTTTATCGCGCGTGGCTCAGTTTCAGCGCTTGCTTTGCGAGGAACCCGGCGAACCCCTGCGAACTGCACACCACGTGCGGCTTGAGCTCGGTTGGCCGTAAAGCCATCCGCACATTTTGTTAAGTTTTACTTTGTGATACACACTTGGAAAGGAAATCCATTTGTCATCCCCCCCGCCCCCACCGGCGGTATTGAGCATTTAAGTGAAATTCTACTGGAAAGGCCCATTCCTTCAACGGGACAAACAACACCAACTTCCCATCAAGCACTGCAAGCCTCCCGAAAGTTCGTAGCGACCGTGACGACCACGACGATGATGGTGGTGTTGATGATGATGATGCTGATGCAGGCAAAGAGGTGACACGGTGTCAAGGATTAGAACTCACTCGTGCGCCATCAACGTCGTGAGCTCAAAATCTGTCCGGTTTAAAAACCCAACGCACGCGAATACCTCCACCACCCCATTGCGCCGTTCATGCCAACCGCTGCCCTCGCCACGTGACGCTCACAGCTGCGCGAGCTTGGGGGGCAGAGCGCGCACGACGCCCGCGCGCGCGATACCAGAGGGGCCATTCGTTGCATCGATATAAAAAAAAAACCACGGCTTTTTTGTT